GCATTTTTCACCCCCCCCCCACCTCCCGCCACCTAGCCAAAATACCTAATCTCATTTTAACTAGGCTCCATCTGAGCATCAATGATACTGAGCTCTCCATGAATAAACATGATGTTACAACGTGAAACCCTGTGACTGAAGTATATAAAAATGTAGCTGAAAGAAAAGGCTGGGAGCCCCCACCCTCTCCCACCCCCTCCCCAGGGAGTTGGAGAGTTGAACTGAGAAGGGGTGAAAAGCAGCAGATTTAAATTTCAAGGTCTTCAACCATTTTTACCATTCCTATTAAACCCTATAAAACTAAACACTGTAATTCTAATAAAATCCTTGTGTGTGCAGCTTCCAACTGTAGTCACTTTTCTCTTTTGGAGTGGGGTGTGTAATAGTGACAAAAGAAAAAATAAATCTCAAAACAGCAGAAACACAGAATGGAACCCACACCCTTCCCTGATGTGTGTGGTATTTTATTAAAATGAGTATCCTAACAACGTGAAAAATATATACTTACAAACATCTTCATTAAAGCGGAGACATATTTTGTCAATTTGTATGAGGAAACAAGGTATAGCAAAGTTATCAACAACAAGGATTTTTACAATTTCACTGATCAAGTTTCTTAAATTCTGTAATAAGCCAACATTAGTGAAATCCCTTTGCTAACAATGAAAGTCCTTATGATGGGCCCCATATTTCCCCTATATTTTCATCCCATAGCACAGACCTCAAGAAATTTTAAAAAATAGTTTTTTGTCATTCTGGAAGCTTTCTACAGAACAAATTCTGAAGTCTTTAGAACACATTTTCATATCCTATCTGACTGTACTTGATGTGCAATACTAAATTATATCACAGTGCAGTCCTGTACATCTGGGACAGCAAGACCATCAAATGCTTGAATTTGGGGAGACACCAGGTCAACTCCTGGTGGCTAACACAAGGGAAAATGAAACTCCCTTCCACTGCCTGGGAATTGCACTGGTCAACAGTGACACAGATCTCAGAGTTTTTCTTAATTTCATTTAAAAAGGGGGGAAACACCCACACATTTCTTTATAAAATTTCACTGAGATTCTGATGTTGCAAAGAAATTTTATTTGCCAGAACAGCCAACAGCATTTAAACTTTTTTTGTGTTTTGGTTGGTGTTTTTTTGTTTGTTTGTTTGCTTTGCCATGCATCATATTCTGTTAAAAAGAGATGAGGTTCTAAAACCTTTGACACTGGCTTTCTTTTGCCGTAAAGATTAGAGATCTAAATAACCTCATGATGAAGTAAATGTGGATAATATGGGGGTGAGTGGAGGAAGCGGATGCCCAGAGCAGCTTCACGGGGTACCAGGCCGCCAGAGGCATTCGAAATTGTGTTTCTCAGGAAAGGTGCTAATTTCATGATATCATTCTCAAACTCTCCTCTTTCATCTATTGATTCATTGGCCATGGGCTAGTTAACAAACGTTTATTGAGTACCTACTTTGTCCCAGGAATTCCTTGCTCCAAGAGCCAGCTTTAAAGAAGACTGGCAGGGTCTCTGTCTTCAACACTTCCTCCACGATTAGCCTATTATTTCAATACCATTTGTGATTTTGAACTAAATACTAGGAGCAAGAAAATAATGATTATACTCCCCTCTAGTTCACAATACTTTCTCATGCCAAAGCAAACCAAACCTGGGACTTTTTCGCACTGTCTGAATTTTTTAATTCAAGGGCTTTGCAAGGAATTTGCCGATGAGGACCCAAGGTCCAAACCAACCAGTTAGTATATTACAGAAACAAACAAGATTAATGCCAATCTAATGCTCTTTAAACTAAAAACTACTCAGCTCCTGAAGGGGGTGGATTTGACTTACGTGGAAGAAATGCACAAACTCCCGTGAGAGGATGCCCTGACTGACATTCAGCAATAGAAGGGGAGCCCGTAAAAACCAGGGTTCTTTACTACTCTCCTTCTTGTCCATGAAAAAGGGAGTTTCCAGGAAACTTCTAAGAACTTGATCTTCAATTTATTCCTCACAGAATGACTGGCTACAATTCCTTCCTAGCCAAGTCAACACTGAAAAAGGAATGGGGAGTTGACAGTATTACCTAGGTGTGCCTGTGTGGGTGGTGTTAGGAGTCAATAAAGTAACGCTATGTAATATAGGGCCCCGAACCAGGAGAGAAAGAAGAAAGGCTGAGTCTCTCTTGCCCAATGGTTGGATGCATTGGTTAAATTCTGAAAGTAATTGCTCAACAATCTATTTGACTGTGTGTGTGAATAAACTAGTAATTCTTGCTGGGTAGTATGGTATTTTATCCCAACCAAGCCATCTCTGGCTCAGAACAACTTTATAATAAGTAACTATTGTGGGTTAAGGTACTATATAACTTTTTTCCTAAATACTTTCTTTTCCAATTCCAAACCATGATCAAAATTTAATATTTAATGTGAATATTTAAATATCTTAGGAGCACCCTGGCTGGTGCGGTTCAGTTGGTTGGGTGTCATCCCCTGCATGGAAGGGATGCAGGTTTGATTCCTGGTCAGGGCACATGTCCAGGTTTCGGGCTGGATCCTGAATCCCTGGTAGGGGCATGCAGGAGGCAGCTGATGGCTGTTTCTCTCTCTGTGTCCTTCTGCCTTCCTCTCTCTCTCTAAAAAAAATCAATTGAAATATATTTAAAAAGTAATAAATATCTTAAGAGCAATTATATGATTCTTTTTTCATATGAAATAAAAAGGAAAAAAGTATGGCTCTAGGTTCATGACATCAGTTATGCTTGGCAAAGAAAAAAAGAAGTGTCAGGGCAATTATTTGGTTAATTAAAGAAAAGATCTACTTAAGGGAGTGGGGAGGAGCATGTTAGGGTTGGCCCTAGGACACACCAGGAAAAAGTTAAACTGCTTTTCTGTCACAGGCAGGGAGGTTTACACACATGTTTAAGATCTGTCTTAGCAAGCTTTTCTCTCCAGGTTCTTGAGTTATGAAGCAGTTTTTCTACTAAGAAGAAATCTTTAAAAGTAATACCCCATAATCCAAAAAGTTAGGAATACCTGAGGTGAGCTCTCAAAAAAAAAAAAAAAGAAAAAGAAAAAAGAAAAGAAAGGTAACAATGTGCCATTTTTAAGAAACATAACATGAATGGGGACTTTTCAAAGGTTTCCTCTCAAATGTGAAATAAAGTGGGGACCTTGTTGCATCCTGAGGCGGGGATGGAGTGGTCTCCCCATGAGACTCTTAGCTGAGCCCTGGCCAAGTGAAAATTAAAGGCACAGGGGAGCACAGGTATCCGAGAACCCTGCCTGCTCTCCTAGCCCAGGCGGACGGGAGGTAAACCTCTTCCCACAACTCCTCCAAAACTTTCCACAATGTGAAGTGGACACAGGTTATTTTTAAATCCTGTTGCTCTTCAAGAATTGAGCCATCATGGCCCTTGGTCTCTCTTTTTAAAGTAATACTATTTCTAAGACATTTATATATAAAATTTATGTTGCAATGAATGTGTGTGTGTGAACTATAAGACAGTTTATACTCTCCTAATTCTGAAAGCAAGCTACAGCCACCAATAGTTTATGTAGGCACTCAAGATTGCAGCACACAGTGGCAAAGGTCTGAGAGATATACAAACTGTAACACACAAGTACATACAGCAACACACACAAATGTCATTGGCGGCCAACAGCTCACCACTCTAAGCAAAACAGTTTCTACTTCTGGAAAGACTGACTTCCAGGGAGAGCAACAGTGTCCTCATTTATATTTAACACCGATGGAGTTAGTAACATATAAAGAAAATAGTGATCAAGACAGGCCAGTTAAAAAAGCAATCAGTCCTTGTCCAGCAGGTAGCCAATCAGAAAGCAGGTCACATCTTGTTAGCTGTATTATAATAATACGGTAAGTGTCATGAATGCTCCATGGCTCCGTTGACAATTCAAGCAAGTGTGTTTTATTTTCTCCTGCAGCCTCAGGTGAGTTCCTTTCCAGAGTTGGGAGTCACTCTTCAATCTAAAATTCCACCAAAGCTCTTCCCTAAAAGCTCTTTGCCATGCACCCTCTGGGCATTTGATCTCTACAGACAAGACTGACTTCCCAGCGATTTCTACTTCCTAAAGTGACTTTGGTGCACCGACCAAGAACTCCTTACAACACTTCAACACAAAGCCCCAACTTCCAGGCACAGGGACAGCCCAGGAGCAGGACCTGCCCGCAGAGCCAGCACAGAGAAAAAGTCAGCTGGCATTAAATATTCAAATTGCAGGAGGCAGCTTGGAGTTTTGCATTTACAAAGTTCTCAAAGTCCTGTTCTCCTCTCTGCTCCCAGAGTTGCTGGCCCCTAGGCTGAGGCTCCCTCGTTCAGGCACAAAATCCCAGATATGCCAAAACTCCAGCTGGGTTGACTGCTGAGCCAGCTCCAGAGGAAGGTAGAGCCCTTAGGAGACACTCCCATCCCCATAGGAGAAAGTCAAGAACCCCCTTGCCCAAGCAACCGGTTTCAGAATTTAACAAGGAAATCTACAGCCCTGTCCCCACCAGGGCTAGTTCGGAAAAGTACTCGGGGTCACTCTTCTGCCCCCTTCATCTCGATTTTGATGACTTTAAAAAGCCAATGCAAGTCAAAACACACTTCCCCTGGGATGTGTTAACAAATTATTCTGCGGGATACAAAACGATCACAAAATCCCTTGGAATTCTCTCTCAAGACACGCTTGTTCACTGGCCGCCTGGGAGCCTGCAACCCCGGGAGTTCTGGGACAGCAGCCTGTCTGGAGACCCCACCAGCCAGGCAAGTGCTGGGCTGTCGGTTTCAAGATTCCAGCAGAAACTGTCCCCCGCTCTAAGAGTTGCTGCGCCTGGAAAGCCGGCGTTCAAACTAGTGGCTCCATCCTGGCGCTTGTTTCCACGTAGGTGGTAGTATCTAGCGGGACACTTCCCACGGAATTCAGTCGGCATCCCCGGGCAAAGCCCCTGCACAGTTCTCCGAAAATACACACAAACACACGCCGGGGTGGAAGTACTTACCTCTGTGCGAGACTGCAGTCTCTTGTTCATCTCGTAGATTCGGTACTCTGGCTGTACCATGTAGGGTGTGTGTCTCCTATAAAATGGGCCGAAAGGAGAAGAATAGAAGGGGTCGTGTGGCGTGCTGGACATCTTGCCTGCTTGTGGAAAATCAAGCTACACAGAGTAACAGTAACGTCCATGCAGAGCACATGGGCTGTGTTCCTCGCAGTACAAAGTAGACGCACGCACACGCGCTCACACACACACAGCGGCAGGCAGGCAGGCTGAGCACACTGGCTGGGAGCTGCTCTCGGAGCCCTCTACAGCGAGAGGAGCGGGAGCGAGGAGGAGGGAGGGTGGGAGGGAGGAGGGAGGGAGGGAGAGCAGGCAGAGGGAGAGAGCAGGAGCTCTGGAGAGGAGGGCGGGTGGGAGGGAGGAAGGAGGGAAGGAAGGAAGGAGGGAGAGGAAGGGAGGAAGAGAGAGAGGGAGAGAGGGAGAGGGAGGGAGGGGGGGGAGAGCTGGATAGCTTTAGGCACCACTGCTTGTTTTTAAAGAAGCAGTTTGTGGAGAGGTCATTTCCTGTCCACACTGTAGAGGAGTTCAAAAATATAATTCTCCTCACAGGCTGACAGAGGTCTAAGGTTTGGTTTTAATTTTTTCCCTCCAGCCAGGACCCTTCCCCACCTGATTGCTGAGCTTGTTAGCACATAGGTGGTTGCACGGGCTGCCTGAGCCACTCACCCCTGACAGCCACACTGTGGTCATGTGTCAGAAATGTGATGACTACAAAACACGGAAACAGGGCACCCTGGTCCCCCACACGGGAGCTGGGGATTCACTCACATGCAAGGATTTCCCTCTGCACTCACCTCCCGCTATAGTTTTGTTTTTACTTGCTGTTGTTGTTCCAAGAGCTTGTCATATAGTCTTTGCATTTCAAGCCTTCCTCACGCTCACCCCTCCCCAATCTCTCTTCTTCCCTGCCTCCTCCTCCTCCTCCTCCTCCTCCTCCTCCTCCTCCTCCTTCTCCTCCTCGACTTCCTTCCAGGCTGGTTTGAGGGGTCCTGGATTCAGGTTGCCTAGGCATTTTCAGGTAAAAACAATGATCGGGAAGGTTGAATGCCAGAGATACATCCATGAAGCAATGGACTCTTTCCCCCAAGAGAAAAGACAAAACAAAACTCCAGAAGCAGACCTCTCATTAAAAGATAGAAAAAGCGAGAAAGAGAAACTTCCCCAAAAATGACCATGGAAAATCAGTTGAGTGGGAAATTGCAGATAATTGAATGGCTCATCCCCAAGCAACTCTGATGGAAATGGGTCTTTATTTTGGTCAAGTATATAAATCTTTTCTCACCTGTGCTATATGACCCCTGGAAGAAAACAGCCATGGGAGGGGAAAGAATCTCTATGGAGAATAAAATTATCTATATGGCAATCAAATTCTGATGGAACCAATAAGAAGATAAATACCCTTAAACAAAGCTCAGACACAGAAAATGTAAACATGTGGGGTGAATACCTAGCTAGGTCAGTGACATTAAGGAAAGAAAGCAAAGACCACCAAAAGCAAGATGCATGCAAGACCTGAATGTAAATGCATGCAAATGAGACCTTTCTTCTCTTTAATAGGCAGATTAATTAACTTCCTGCACCACTCATGGCTTGGGGTGTCTCCAAGTCACTAGCCAACAGGGGATAAGGTATTGCTAATACTGCAATTTACACTCTTAAGACTACTTAGGCACAGAAATGTCCCCAAATCGCTGTCCTCCTTGGTCCTTTTCCATAATTGCATGAAATGGTTGCAGAGTCCACCCCAAAAAGTCCAGCGCAGCCCAACACAATCCTGTGACTTGCCAGGATGCGATTAGGGAGGCGTTGCACTAAGGCTGCTTGGCGCTTGTTCCAGCGACCCCAAGGCAGGCCAGCATGCTTGGTGTCAGGTTTCATTACAAATCCAAAAGCTGGACCAAATTTGCTGCAAGGTTTGTCAAAACACACAACCTTCTAAAGACAGCATTTCAAACAAATTTGGTGTGATTTATGTTTTGGAATGATGGCCACTGCAAGTTCCTTGTGTTTAAATTCCCAAACTAAAGACGGTCCAAGAGTTGAGTGCCTGCCTGAGTTTGTGTTTACCTGGCTGTTTCAAGGCAAGAATCAAAGTAACACCTAGCTGGTATGTGAAGCCCAGTATTGACCCAAAAAGGAAAAGCTCAAAAATTCATTTCGGGAACCCCTTTCTGAATAAAGGCACAGAGGGTTTTTTTCACTAATTTTGTTGGACCATTCCAAGATATAACGTTGTAAATATTGCTCCTGTTAATACCTAATTCAAATTCAGAAATGTCTGAAACTTCATTTTGTTTGGTCCATGTGGTTTCTCAACCCTCCCATTTCATGAGTCTCCAAACTGGTGTCCCTGCTCACAGATTCACAATTCACTCCTAACTGGTGATTCATCCTTATTCTACTCAGAATGCTGACTGTAGAAAAGGAATATAGATCATCTCTCTCTCTCTCTTTCTCTCTCTCTCTCTCTCTCTCTCTCTCTCTCTCTCTCCTGGTATGTCTCTTCTGTCTTATTCTGTCTCTCTATCAAACACATCACACACACACAATTAGCTACACTTGATCTTCCTGAAGTTGGAATCTCATTCCATGAATGTACATATTTGTGCTTTTGTCCCTTGTTTACCTGCAAAGTCCTACTCATCCTGGTACCCAATTAAATTGTCTTCTCCCCTGCAAACCCTTTTCACTTCCTATTAATGACTTCATTGGTTCCACAGATATTTCTTTCACAAAGGATGTAGGCACAGGCACCAGCCCAGAGCACAATTCAACCCTGGTTCCACCACTTACTTGTCTTGTGAACTTGAGTAAATCACTGGTCCTCTCTGTACCTCAGTCCCCTCATTTTTTAAATTGAGGACAATGATAATAACAACCCATCAGACTGTTGCAAAGAACTAGATGAAACACTACTCTTGAATGTGTTAGAACCCACACATATAAATGCTCAAAAAATGTTATTATTCTCACTTGCCTAGTACAGTTGACCCTTGAACAGTTCCAGTGTTAGGGGCACCCCCAGGAAGTTGAAAATCTGTGTATAATTTCTGACTCTATAGTCAGGTCTTCCCCTCCACCAATCCAACCAGCCACAATTAGAAAACAGTAGTTTTGCATTCCCAACTGCAGATTCACAACAGTGGATAGAAAATACTGTTTGGGAATCTGCAGATTGGAATCCCATGGATATGAAGGGCTGATGGTTATTTATTGAAAAAATAATCATGTTTGAATGCACTCATGCAGTTCATACCTATGTTGTTTAAGGGTCAACTGTATATGCTTAAGTGCTAAGGAACAACGGGAGGTCAAGGTGGACACAGGAGATAGACTCCCTGCCTTCCTGTCCCTTGCAACCAATGTGGGGGGTGGGGGGACTGTGTAGAACTAGTAAGTCTCTGGGAACATAATTTCAAATTGTAGTGTGTGCTATGAAGCCAATACATAAAAGGAAGAGATGGAGAATAATTTACTCCTTGGGGTCAACAGGGTATCTTCTATATTCTTCTATTAGAGAATTTACATGAAAACATAGCAACTGCTGTCATTTGTGGAGTATTTACTGTGTGGCAGACACTGTGCTGAGTGGTTTCCACAAGTATTCTTCGTTAATCTCACAATAACCCAATGCGATTGATTCAATCACTTTCCCCATTTTATAGCTATGGATGCTGAGGCTTTGGGATGCTAAGAAACTTCTTCAAAACCACACAATTAATAAGTGATAGGGACAAGATCCACACCAGTTTGCCCCTAGGTCTTAAGCTCAGGTTCATTCTCATCTTTAAGGATCTGTTTTTCTGTCCCTAGCGACCAGTGTGGTACTGAGGCCACAGTAGGTGCTCAAGCCATGTGTCCCCAATGAAATGGAAGAAAAGCCAAGAGGATGAAGTGGCTCTTCATTCTTTCTCCTGCTTAATTTCAGACACCTGCTGTGCCCTGCCCCCACTTACACCCATTCTCCTTGAAGCCTTGTCCAACTGCTCTCATCATTTTTTTTATTTGTTCAAAATCTCCTGGCACATATTCCTAAAGCTGCACTGTTAGGTGTTTAATCCTTGGCCCCATCAGGTTAACTGGCTGGTTTTGCCACTTGTCTATCTGTCCTACTTCCTTGCTTCTTGATGGACCAGCTATGACTCGTCTTCTTATGGCCCCAAAATGAGCCTGAGAAGAGAAACCAATGAGGTGCTCATTATGAGCCTGCAAATCATCCTTTGGGACACCATAGGGAAATTCAACAAGCAATATCAGTATACCATAAAAGAATGAGCAAGCCTCATCACAGATGTTTCTCTCTCTCTCCTTCTCCCTTCCTCTCTCTGAAATCAATAAAAACATATTTTTTAAAAATACAAAATAAAAATTTAAAATATGAATGAGCAAGCCTAACCCCGGTGTGACAGTTCTCTTACCCCAAAGATTGGACCACGCTAGTTTACATATAATTTTGCATGTTGAGTATTGAATAAGCTCCAAAAGACCTCAGCTTGCTATATTCAGCTCAGGTTTAATCCAGTGAGTGCTTATTTTTCCTTTAATTTGAAATGTTTGTCAACAGTTTGCAAAAATCAAGAATTTCACATAAAATCCAGATTTTCATCTTCTCTTGAAAAATCTTAAGCACTGGGACGTGACTCCACCATGATTTCCATCACTCTGTGGCCTTCACCAGCCAATGTCCCTAATTTTTATTTGCCTGCCTGGTCCCTTTAGGTATTTAAGTCATTGTCCCTTTCCTTAATCTATTCAATTGCACCCCCCTCCAATTCCTGCTAGCAAACTCTATTTGTTTCAGAAAGCTAGTTTTCTTTCCACTCTCAATTCCCCTCTCTGCCCTTCCTTACCTATTTCTGTGTCCTCTATTTTTCTTTCTGTCTCTTCATTCAATAAGCATTTAACTAACAGGTATGTGCAAGATATAGCTGGATTGTGGCAGGGGGATAAAGATAAAGACATCTAAGGCACTTCTCTGCTTTCAAGTGACTAACAGATATGCAAACTATGCATCCTTCATTCACAAGTATATATGGAGCTCTTATTTTGTCCTAAGCACTGTGTCAGGTGCTGGGAATATAGCCCCAGGAATAAAATTAAAGTAGACACAGAACTAATCTCCAACACTGGGTCTTCACAGTAGAAAGAATAACCTTCTAGAGGACAAACCTTGAAATCTCACTACTTTAGCTGTATGTCCTTGGGCACATACCCTCTCTGTGCCTCAGTTTTCTCACCTGTAAAGTGGGGCTAATAACAATCCTGTAGTTTTTATGAGGATTA